GGCGACGTTGTTTTTCAGGGGCAGATTCCAAACAATATGAGATTCTTGCAGTGTTGTGTTATTGGTGGCAGTCCTAACAATATGACACGGTGGTGTTATTGGTGGTAGTCCTAACAATATGAGGAGTGGTGTTATTGGTGGTAGTCCTAACAATATGAGATGGTGGTGTTATTGGTGGCAGTCCTAACAATATGAGACGGTGGTGTTATTGGTGGTAGTCCTAACAATATGAGGAGTGGTGTTATTGGTGGTAGTCCTAACAATATGAGATGGTGGTGTTATTGGTGGCAGTCCTAACAATATGAGATGGTGGTGTTTTTGGTGGTAGTCCTCACATAATGAGACAGTGGTGTTATTGGTGGCAGTCCTAACAATATGAGACAGAATGGTGTTATTGGTGGCAGTTCTAACAATATGAGATGGTGGTGTTATTGGTGGTAGTCCTAACAAAATGGGACGGTGGTGTTATTGGTGGTAGTCCTAACAATATGAGATGGTGGTGTTATTGGTGGTAGTCCTAACAAAATGGGACGGTGGTGTTATTGGTGGTAGTCCTAACATAATGAGACAGAATGGTGTTATTGGTAGCGGTCCTAACAATATAAGACGGTGGTGTTATTGGTGACTGTCCTAACAATATAAGTCTCGAGTTCGGATCTCGGTCCGGTCTTGAGTCTGCAGGACGTACCTGAATCGACTCAGCTATAATAGGTACCCGAATCACGGAAGTGAGAGTAAAGGCGGTCGGGCATAGTGCTGACCACACCTTCCCTTCATATGCCAATGTAAAGAAATATATAAACTCTACTTCATCTACCCTAGAAATTATTAGGTCAGAAAGAGGAACTTTACTACTATAGGGCTGGTAAGTAGGTCACCAACCAGTTCTATGGCTCAACCAGGTTTTATTGAGCCGTAGAACTGGTTGGTGACCTACTTACCAGCTCTATAGGTGTCGTAAGATTTTCACAATTTTAACTTTTGGTATCGCTATCCTGGTCCTAACCTAACCTTATTCTTATGGTAACATACACAACATTCATTTTATAGCGCTAACACTAATTTATTCAAAACCTTGATCTAATGGCCCTAATGCTAAATCCCCCAAAACTCTAATCTTATAGCCCAAACGCTAATCTATCCCGAACCCTGATAGTATTGCCCTAACAATATTTTATCCTAAAACTTATTATTATTGTCCTAACGCTAATTTATCCCGAGCCAAAATTTATAGCCCTACAGCTAATTTATCTAGAACCTTAATATTATTGCTAATGTATCCAAGATCCCACTATCATAGTCCTAACGCTAATTTATCCAAACCCTAAAATAATGTACCTAACGCTAACTTACTCCAAGCCTAATCTTAACCCCTCCGTACATCGATACACCAGCCTAAGTCTCCGCTGATGATTTACCCAGCCTTTGGTACAGGGAAACATCTGGGGCGGGTGGGGAGGCGGCTGGAGCTTACAGCGAGGCGAGAGAAAGTCCTCCACTGACAGCCATCAAATTTATGCAACCCATAGCGACGACAATAAACGAAGCAGCTATTTACCGGGAGAAACCATTAGCGGCCGTGATGCCACTTGGTGCTGGGTTAAATGATTGTATCGTACCAAAACAAATACCACACTAATACCACCATAATGCCACCGATGGAGGCTAGACGGAGGATCTGAGTCAAGAGGATCATAACAATAATCGTAACGGGAGGAAAAAAGAGGACGTGTGACATTGGTTGAAGGGGGAGGAGAGATGGGTGGGTGGGGGTAGTGGAGTTAATAGAGACAAGGGGAGAGAACCGATCCGTTGTCAAATCACAGTGAGGTTTATATAGAAGGGGGAACTTGAAAAAAAAAACACTATTGTAAATTACAATGTAATTGTGTAAGGGAGGGAAGCAAATTAGCCCAGGAAAGAATTAATAAATTATGAATAAAATAAACATAAAATATTTAAATCTAACTCGTGGTAAAAGTAAAGTGTAATTTTAAAGGGGCATTTAAAAAAATATTTTTATCGGTTGAGTCGGTTGATTTTAATTTAACGAATAAATGCTTAGCTATTTAAATTCAACGCCTATTTAATTTTCCACTCCACCCCCACCACATTACGTAATAAACTGATATTTTTTTATTCAGATTTGAAGAAAGTGACGCCAAGTTTCCAAAAATAATTTATTGTGTTGAAGTTTTTGAAAGGTTTTTCTAATGTTTTGGTTCTTAGACATCAGCTTTAGTAGTCTAGGTCCTTATGAAAAGTTCTGAATAGCGTCAACAGGGCGGGGAGGGAGGGGATAAAAGCCAGGGGCGGGCAGCAGTCAGCAAATCTCGTAGAAACGGCAAAGGGTGGGATATGATTATGAAAGGGAGGAAAATAGACAGGGAGGTAAAAAACAAAAATCACTCACATGATTCAAGAAATAAAAAAAACCACGCATACACACATAGCACTCAACATATGACCACATAAACATACATATCACTCAAAATATGAACACGCAAACACACATAGCACTCAACATATGACCACACATACACACATAGCACTCAACATATCACTCAAAATATGAACACGCAAACACACATAGCACTCAACATATGAACACGCAAACATTCATATCACTCAACATATCACTCAACATATGAACACGCAAACACACATAGCACTCAACATATGGACACGCAAACATACATATCACTCAAAATATGAACACGCAAACACACATAGCACTCAACATATGAACACGCAAACATATATCGCACTCAACATATGAACACGCAAACATATATAGCACTCAACATATGAACACGCAAACACACATAGCACTCAACATATGACCATGAATACTCACATAGCACCCAACATATGAACATCACGTAGCCTATATGTGAAACAATGATCACCGCTCATTTCTGAAAAATGTTTTGAATTTGGTGCGAACGTGCACTAAATATTATTTTCTAAGCTGCTACTTTCTGTGTATCCTGCCAAATATTTAAAGTTCTTTCATGGACTTTGTAACTTGTTAACTTCAATATTTCACCGATATGCTTACGATTATTATTTGGTGATTATTTTTGAACTGATTATTTCAACTATAACCAAGAACTTTATTTTTAAATTGTACAACGCATTAATTCACCAACAGACACTCACAAAGTTCTAAAAATACTAAATTGCCCGTTACAGCACCTTCACTCAACTACACACAATTGTAAAAATAGTAAATTGCCTGTTACCCCACCCTACCCCTAACTACACACAGTTATAAAATAGTAGATTGTCTGTTTCCCCACCCTCACTTAACTACACAACGTTATAAAAATAGTAAATTGCCTGTTTCCCCACCATCACTCAACTATACAGTTTTAAAAATAGTAAATTGCCCGTTACCCCACCTCCCCCCAACTACACAACTTTATAAAAATAGTAAATTGCCTGTTATCACTCTCTTCGACAACACCAAATTTCATACTAGGTATAATAAAAGTCTGTGTGTTTTGACGCGCCAATGCTAGAATGCCACACTTGACAAAAGTGATCAAAGTCAGCGACTTAAGTTTTGCAGCGATAGATCAGTACTTGCTGCTTGTGTGCGCTTCCAAACAGAACAAGAACCATCTACCAGAAGAAAAGTTCATGACCTAGAGCTAGAGGACCTATCTTGACAACAATACACGTTAGAATGTTATGCCATAAACCGTTTTGGAATAGAAGCATAACTATATAGACATGTCTGAATGTATGTTAAATTATTCCAAATCAGAGTAGCCATTGTGGCTATCCGTCAATCAAATACTTGCTCATGCCGGTGATTACATCAATTTACAAGATACTACGAAATGCGCACGCACGCACACACACACACACACACACACACACACACACAAACATAGATATAGACCGTATATATATTTATATATAAAACAAACTATAAAGGTTTTAGAAAAAAAAGCTTAATAATAATAGAAAAGATGCAAGAGCCCCTTAAAAAAAAAATAAAAAAATATAGCGCTTTAGTCAATATCTAACGGCTAGGGTAAGTTAGCCTGTGGCGTGACATGGATCTAGCCATTAATTTCACAACTCTCACGACGTGATCTGTCGTGGCACCTGACGCTTGAAACAAAAAAATTTGAGGTTAAAAATTGAGACAAAAAACAAAAACGAAAAGAAAACAAAAGCACGTATACCCACTGGCCCCGCCTTTAAAATCTGTCCCGGGCCAATAAGGAGGCGAGGAAGAAATCGATGCCCGGTCACGAGAAAAAAGACCGGAGCGCAGCGCGTGATTGGTCGCTTCTGCTCCGAGCACGTGCTCCGGTGTTGACAAGTGGCGGAACATCGTGTTGTGTCCTCCCCATCCGGATGGGAAAAAAAGTTATAAAAGTGCCGCTCCAAGACCGACCGGAAATATCCGGTGCTTGACAAGGAGCCGGTTAGCGACGGATGTTTGAAAACCGGCAGCGCTAGTGAGACGTAACTAATTTGTTAATTTAATAATTAATTTGGTTGGTGTTGGAGACATTTCAACCTTTTGAACTTAACCGCGAGCCGAATAAGAGACGGGATAATTTCCAAGGTTCATTGATCATCAGCGGTTTGAATACTACTCTCAGCATCAAAGCACATTTCTCTTTGAAGTTATTATTTCTGCAAATATACATCGAAGACTCAGTTACATTTATCAACTGTAATGAAGACATAATAAATTGAACCATACGATTTTATTTGCCGGCGAGCTGATTTTTTAAATAACGCGTGTTTGTTTTCTTTAAAGAAATTTCTAACATCTAATATATTTTTTGTGAAAGCATTATTTATATGTAATAGTTGCAGTTTAAATATAAACATTCATTAAAGTGGTTTATCTCAACTTAAGGAAATTATATAAAAGAAAAGAGAAAAATAATAGAGAAAAGAGGCGAAAAAAAATTGTTTGACGAATAAATTTCATGCCGAGTGGACGCACATATCCGGTCTCCTCCGTCTGAATGTGTCAGCTATTCCCCCAAAGTGCCCAGACCGCCGAGATGAACCACCACAGCCTGACCTACCAGCACCTGCACCACGACCACTACCACCAGCCCCAGGAGGAGCCCATGCAGTACTACCACGAGCTCCAGCAACAGATCCACCAGGACCACACCCACCCGCACCACCTCTACACCAGCTTCCGGCTCAGCTATGGCTACTCGCCTATACAGTCGCCGTCCTCCCCATCATCGCTGACCATCCTGCAGAGTCCGTCCTCGGAGGAAATGCCAGACTACCCCCCAGGTTACACGTGTCTTAAGTCTTCTTCCAGACGCCGGAAACGGAAGTGCCAACAGCAGCAGGTGCAGCAGAGGCAGGCGGCCAACATGCGGGAGAGGAAGAGGATGCAATCTATCAACGACGCCTTTGAAGGTAAGTCCAAAGTTGTTTTCACCAACAATGTTCATCAGCTGTTAGGCTTTAGTAGTGAATCTTACCAAATTTGAGCGCCTAAATTTTATTCATAGAAGTATTATGTTTTAATTTCGAAAGTCCTATTTTCATTATTGAAAGTCCTTTCCATTTCTGTCAGTCCCTGGCAAACTTATTTGGTAGTTCCTCTGGTAACTTCGACTCTTGCCAGTAGCTTTTAGGCTATGTGTCTCTTAACATCCCTAGGCCCCCCGTGTTATATTTTCCCTTTCCGAACCTAATTTAGCGCCTACACTTAAATTTTGCTCGACTTGATCTTTAAAATCAAGGCTCGTCCAAGCCATCTTTTTTTCGGTATTTTTCTGAAACGACTGGTAAGAAGAAAAATGGTCTGGATCCATTTTATTATTATTCTCTTCTAGTTTTCACGAAGCGAATTCAGTGGTTCAACTCCGTATTCGTGTTATGATGTCCTTTCTTTCAGATTCCGCGGGTGTTCTAATATGAATAGACGCTGATGGTATCCATAAGTCGTTACATTTCAGTGTTTCCATTTGTTTTTAGTAGTTCCAGTCATTTGTCCAGTTACCACTAAATATTAGGAGTTACTTATTAGTGTGACAAGTAGGCGCTATATTTTGGTGTGTCCGGTAGTCGTTACTGTATCCCGTAGATGCCAGTGATTAGATTTTTGGGATACAGCAGTGGCGTAGCGAGGTCGGGTGTCACCCGGTGCGGCACTTAATGGTTGTCACCCCCCAGAGACGTAGCGACCCTTCCCGGGGACAAACTTTCAAATTTTCGATTTGCACCCCCCCCCCCTCAAACTTTCGATTTGCACCCCCCCCCCCCCTCAAGTTTTTCTCTATATATTTTGCTATTTTTTGCCTTGGTGTCACCCCCCTAAATGGTGTCACCCGGTGCGGTCCGCACCCCCGCCCCCCCCCCCCCCCTCGCTACGCCCCTGGGATACAGCAAATATAAAAATTGTATAATCGCCTAGAACTCGCGAGTGCATCGTGCGTCGAAGACTGTATGAGCACTGTTTTCAATTGGGTGCAAGTTTGCACTAAACATTATCTTCTAGGCTGCTTCTTTCTGCATAGCTGTCTTAAAGACAATTTTTCGACTTCAGTTATTACAAATTTTAAGTTCTTTCATGAACTTTGTAACTTGTTAAATTCAATATTTCACTGATATGCTCACGATTATTATTTTGTGATTATTTTTTAAACTCCTTATTTTGACTATATCCAAGAACTTTAGTTTAAAATTGTATAACGCATTAATTCATCAACAGCCACCAATGAATACTAATTCAAGAAAAAAAAAGAGAATTACTTCTTCATTCTAAAGTACTTGACTGAATACGTTATTTTTTCGCGGTGAATTGGCCAGGTAATGCCACCAAGTGTCGCCAAATCTCCACATTTGACAAAGGCCAAATTGGCACGTTAATCTCCAAGCTGCAGGATGCCATACCTGTCTTGAGCAATGTCTCAGCCAGCTCGGCTGAATAGACATTTTCTAAACAACCGCTACGATATTCAGACGCGTCTTCAAGCCCATTGTCCTACTAGCACTTTAAAATTTAATTTTGTTATCTGAAGCTAAGCCCGAAACGCTATACTCAACCCTATATAATGAGCATTTAATACAAAATTGAATAATTTCTGTCATTTTTAAGTTATGTTTTTTATACCTTTTGAATGCCACTTAAATTTATATAATGAATACCTAACACATTGCGGTTTGAAAAGTGTTAAAAGAAAATTGATTGGATCATTCTTTTCCACACGTGACCAGGTCTAAGGGCCCACATCCCCACCCTGCCGTACGAAAAGAGGCTGAGCAAGGTCGACACCCTGCGTCTGGCGATAGGGTACATTGGCTTCCTGTCGGAGATCGTGCAGTCTGATGTCAGCAGCAAGGAGAGCATGCACGCGCACGTGCTGGAGCAGCCCAAGAAAGTCATCATACATTGTCACGCTGGTGAGTACCCTGTCACGGTGTGGGGGTGGAGTGTGTGGGGGTTGTCACGGTGTGGGGTGGAGTGTGGGGGTTGTCACGGTGTGGGGTGGAGTGTGTGGGTTGTCACGCTGTGGGGTGGAGATTTGTAGGTTGTCACAATGTGGAGTGGAGTTTTTGTTGTGTCACGCTGTGATGTTGGAGTTTTGCAGGTTGTCACGGTGTGAGAGTGGAGTTTGAGTGGATTGTCACGGTGTTGAATATTTGCAGGTTATCACGGTGTGGGTGTGGAGTTTTGCAGGTTGACACACTGGGTGGTGGACAGTTTTTGTATATTTCACATGTCTTCCACAAACAAATTCACGAAACATCACGTCCACGTTTAGCCTTACAGAAACAAAACCATACAACAGAATTTTAAAATAGTCATAGAAATAAGAAACAACAGCCAACAGGTCATCCAATTATGACATTCACTCTGAGCTAAGACCCGTGTGTACTGGGGTGGGGGGTGGGGGGAGATTTTGGACCTTATGAATTTCCATCTGTTTAATTTAGCATCGATAAACTGGATTTTACAAAACAAACGTCATTTATCCAGCATAAAAATAAATATATTTAAAAGTCTTTGCTTGCGATTAAATAGCATCTCAAACAGTAATTACACACAGGTCAAGGTAGCAAATTAATCAAATTAGCAGGCCCATATCTGGGGTAACTGATGCATGAAGGAGAAAGACACAGTGGTCTTTACACATCGTGTCATACGTTGCTGTGTGCAGCTAGACGATATAGTATTTTTTTAAAGCTTTTAAGTGTTTCATACACATACATCGGTTTAAGCTTGGTTAAAACTATTTAAAAAAAAACTATCATTATAGATTTATTCTTTTATGATGTTTTATTAACTTATCTATACAAAATATCTGTTTTCGACTATTACTATCTACTATGCGACAAGCTCAGAAATAAATAACTTAAATTATTAACATATAGGCCTACAATAACTTTCTGCTTAATTGATTAAGTGGACAAATAAACTGTCAGAAAAATGTGACGTCCACAGCGGGGACTTATTTAAAAATGTGACGTCTTTGTAGACGTCCACAGCGGGGACTTATTTAAACGTCATATCTCAATTCTATGCCTACTTAACATCTCTCCTAACCCTAATCTTAGCCATAAACCTGCCCATAACACTAACTTAATCAATGATCCTGAAGCTAGCTAGAGTCGTGATCTCATATCTGATCCTAATCCTAATAGCTATTCAAGCAGAGGGAAAAAAAACCTTGCTACTGTCATTGTGGTTTTTTATTTTTAATTTTTAAAATAACCAGTTTAATCTTGGCTGACTGTATCGTGATCCCTTTTTCCGTTTACTTAAAATAAAAGTATTTATTAAATTTAAAATAGAAAAAAATAATAAAATGGCGAATGAAAAAGTCCGCGTAAACCACGGAAAAGACACATTTTTAACAGCAGCAACTAACAAAGCCGCGCTATGGCCCTGTATTTCACCACTGCCGAGCCGAGCCGAACCTAAACTGACCACTTGAAAATCTAATTAGCTGCGAAACAATGACCGATCCTCAACATAGTTGTCACTTTTTTTTTCAAGTCACGAAAAAAAAAAACAACCCCAGATAAAAAAAAGAAATGTCCAGAATTTAACAAGCCAGTTGTGAAGTAGTCGCGTCCAAACGTCAGGGTTAAGAAAGTTTAGAATGGGGAGCGATCTTGGGGAATGGGTGAAGTATTGGTCACTCGTGTGAATTCATGGCTTGGTTGTTGACCACAGGGGTCAAGATAGGGGTCGTGGTGTGGAGTGGCGTGGATTACAAATTAACTTTCGATTGAATTATTTTTTTCTAAATAATAAAAACATTGAGTGAAAATTGAATTGTATTGTTTTCAAGAGAAACAAACTCCCCCTACCCCCCAAAGAGCAAAAAACGTCTCGAGCAAATTTTGTTCACTGCGCATGACCCGACGACCCAAGAGGACACGGGTCTGTCCAGGACAAGATTGACCCTAGTCTGCATCGTGACATTTTTTTCTCTCTAAGTGTCGCGAGCTCATTACATTGAGCAGCTACTTAAAAGTTGATAAGAGGATGAAGAGATCTGATTAAAAAAAATAATTACGATTATGGATTAAAACAAAACATTTTACTTTAACGCAGATTCACATTTGTAAGTATAGGCCTACAACATATATTTAGTTAGCGAATTAGTACGACGATTATAGCAATACTAAAATGTCGATTGAAAAAAAAAACGTTAAGTATATAATGGAGATAAAGAATGCATATGAATTGTTAGTTTTAGCAAACTTTCTGTATGGCTACAATCTTGGAAAATTAAAGTTCAATCAAAACAAATTCGACAGTTAATATTAGATAAAAGCTATGAAAATTAACACAGGATAGATACTAAAATAAAATAATAAAAAAATATATCAATAAACTTTTAAAAAATGCGAAAAATTAATAAGTAAACATTAAGTAAAGGGAAGTGTACAATATTCTCGCGAGAACTGTGTAAGTCAACTGCCTCAATAAAACTATGCGGTATCGGTTCTACTACTAACAAAGTCATCAGCCGTCTTCATACCACTGGCCGGTAGAAAATCTTCAGGACGTGCCGGCTTCCGGCAAGACGAACCAGACACGAGGACAATAGGTCTCCGCGAGATGATACCTGAACCGGTGTAGTCTGCCGGCTTCGCGTCTTCCGTCAAATATTTGCAAACATGGATAGAAGTGTTTCCCCTTGCCTTAACTCCTCCGACCCAGTGTTTCCAGCGTGGTTTAACTCCCCTAAACTGTGTCTGGATGGAAGATTTGACGCCTGCCTGGCCACACCCGAGACAAAGTACACACAAAAATAAAACACTCGCTCCCATTGTAGTCGCCAAGCCACCTACACATTCTAGAATCTACTAGCGGTTAAAAAAAATTTCGTTGCTTCTTACAAAAATCTCAGACGTCATTCCACCCCCCCCCCCCCTCCCACACACCCCACCCCCTTGCCTTTTCTAGAACACGATCAACTATACCGAGGCTGCTAGCGTATCCTCACTCGTTTATGTAAAAAAAAATATCGGTTTATTAAAAAGTGTAATGATTGTTTCGTGTTTGTTCGGGACGGTGCAGTGTTGGCCGTTGAGGCACGTCCCAGTTTTTATGATATCCATGCTGAGGTAGACTTTAAGGCACGTCTCCCCTGTCAGCCTCACAATCCGCCATTATCTTCAATCACCGATCTATCACATTCGTTTATTGATAACTTCCGGTTATTTAAACAATCGTTGAGAGGGCCTTTAGCAAAATCCGCCTAGTCCGGTATTTAGTTTTAAGAAGAGTTATTAAAACATTTTTTACTAGTTAAATTCTAAAATAAATATTGTAGCAGTAGAAACTAAAATAAATTTAAAATCCCAAGATTAGTTGAAGAAGAAGAAAAAAATTAAAATTCAATTACCGCAAAATCAATCTGAAGCGACTTAGCGGGTTTTGCATGTGGACTTGTAGGTAGAAGATGAGGTTGTTTTTTTTTAAAGAGTATATTTGTATGTACAATTGTTTACTTTTTTCTTCTAGGATCTAATGAAGAGTTTGGGATCTACGGCCCCCCTCCCCTCACTGGCCACTCCCTGTCATGGCGTGACGTCAAGCACCCGAATCTGGGACCCAGGCACACACTGGTGGCCAAAATCTGGACCCCAGAGGACCCGCGGTCCCACAAGCTTCAGGACTCCGAGTCTTCAGGTATGCTGCACTCAACCGTCGACTCCACGGAGCTTTAGTGGAACATGTTCACCACTCAATCGTCAGAACAGCAGAACTATGGTGGAACATGTTCCATACTCAATCATCGACACCACAGAACTATGGTGGAACATGTTTCCCATTCAATCGTCGATTCAATGGAACTATAGCGAATGATGCTCCACATAACTTTAACGGAACACGTTCCTCGTACGCACGGGGAACCGGCTAACCGCGGAGAATGTTGACTTGTCGACTGTCCGCAGAGAGTGTTGACTTTTCAACTATCCGTGGAGAATGTTGACTTTCAACTGTGATTTCAAACTTGAGCCACGCTTACGCAACGTAGGCTGCAGAATACACCAAAACTGATGCTGTTGCTTCAACATTAAACTAACAATGCACATCGCCTTAATATTTCTTCATCGAGCTTGTTTTGTTTTCCCCACTCTCAAGTTGAATCTAACAACTTGGTACTCCATGATGGGAATTCAGACACGTCATCACCTCGTGGAAATGACCACTGGTCAATCTAATATCTCTCGCTGGCTGAAAATGACCATTAGCCTGATCTACTCAGCCAGTGTTTACATCTATTGCTTTATCAGGCTACCAATGAAAAACTTCCTTGACAATTTTTGTTTTCTATGTTTTGATCATATGACTTATGGCGAAATTTCTTGCCAATCTTGTTATTCCATATGCAATAAAAATTATCACTCTTATCCACTGAATTTAAAACCAAAACTGATATCCATTGAGTGGATGACCAACCCTGGTATCCACCGAACGGATGGCAAAGACGACAGAGGACTGCCAGTGAAAACATCTCTTTGACATTTTTTTTTAGCCATCTTCTTGTGTCCGTACACACGCTATTATGATGAGCGGCCACAAAAACACATTTTAATGCTTTAAACATTTGTTTTCACGGCTTTGTTTATGTTTATTGTTACACGTAGAGTACAGCATCTGTTTCATCAAAGTTTTTTCGTAAAATATTAGACAGGTTTAAGGTTTTGTTACAACCGATCGGATTTAAAACATTAAATAGACGAGGGTTTCACGATTTTTTTTTTGTAAGGTAGATCTAGCCAACATAATTAGTTGTCATAGAGATTCATCAGTTTACCAATTAAAGTAGCACAGCAAGAAATTAAGTTGGACGTTTTTACAAACTTGTTTACTGTTTATGTTATATATATATATATATATATATATATATATATATATATATATATATATATATATATATATATATATATATATATATATATATATATATATATATATATATATATATATATATATATATTCTTGCTATTATCTGTAGTGCTTTGTTTTTTTAAAATACCTCACCTGAACGTGTGTTTGATTGTGTATTGCTCAGGATGTAATACATAATGCACAGTTGAGCTAAGATTTAAAATCTTGAAACTACGCTATTGTATAGTTCAGCCATATTTCGTTAAACTATTGTTTTATCAAGCCCAAATGCAATTAACGTTATTGAATTTTTCTAATTTTTGAAATATAGAAGTTCATATTTTTAAATTTTAAAAGTGTAGTTCGCCTTCTTTATAGAAATTTCTTCACAAAATGTGAGGCTGATATGTTGCATCTTCAAGCATCATAACATCTCTATAACAAGTATACCCCTGTGCCATATGCACCTCTGTTACCATATCAACAGACCGATCAACATAATGTTGATATGATGTTGTATGATGAACATATTGTTGACTGAATCGTTGAAACTATTGTGATGTAAAAGTGCAATGTGCTGCAACTAATATGCAGTAACTGACATTATTATGTTCAAACCCCTTCCCTCCACACCTTCACCCCCTCTCACAATCTCAGCCCTTACCCTTAGCCCACACCAACCACCCCCATACTCCCCCGGGGAAGGAGATAAGGATTCCAAACATCAATACAAGACATGTGACTGTTGTTTAAATTAATTTTGTTCTTGAGACAAATTGTCTGTATTGTTCGTCTCGATAAAAGATGCCTTGTAAAAAAATAAAATACAAATAAACAAAAATTTGAAATAAAAATTATTTCTGTTCTCTCTTTTTTTATTTTGTGAAATATGGTTTAAAAATAAATGTTTAAACATTTAAAAAAAAAGTTTTTTTTCTCCCTTTTTGAAGTAACGAGGGTTTAAAAACCAAATCAGATTGATGTATATTTATGTTAATCGAAATTACGTGACAAGTATATAATCCCTTCGGGAGAAGTTCTAGTGTAGTAATAAAGCATGACATAAACAACAGGCAGCCATATATATCATCTAGCTTGGATGAAATGAAGTGTGGTAATGACAAATTAATTGGAAAACGTATCTGCCATTATTGTTCAAAACTTATAAAATGAGCACTTTCTATTTCTGTGCTACTAATTTATGTCGGGGTTTCATATTTCTGTATTACAAATATATGTCGGGGTTTAGAAAATGCGATCCTTACTTGGTTAGCAAACTCGACTTTGGTTCGTGAGTTCGAGTGCAAAACGTCGCATTGATCTTATTTAGGGGTATTTTAACAGACCCGAACTATTTGGTGTAAAATTCTTACGACGCTGTTTATCGTGATTCTAACGCCGACATTAATATGATCAGAAAACATATTATGAATAGATCTATTTATAATATGATTTCTGATCATATTAACACGTAGTATTATGAATAGATTACGTGTTAATACAATAACAATCATAAATGTATAGATAATGTATTAATATGATCAGAATTCATATTGTAAATAGACCACATGTTAATGTTATCCAAGTCATAATATGAACGGATACCTCATGTTTTGAGTCATTTTTTTTACAGACACTGTATTATGAATCAACCCCCCCCCCCCCTCCCTACTCCATCATGTAATGATAGACCGCTGCTGTTATTGTACATTAAGTTGTACATGGACCAGTACTTCACCCCCTCCCCCAGAAAGCTGCTTTAATCATCCATTCTTAACATTCATCACCGATCATCTCTCCCGATAATTCACCCAATGCAACTTCACTGCCAGAAGAGCGCATTATCCCCCGTTCACATCCGCTGCGCAAACCCCACCAGTCTTCACAACCATCGCCACTTTCCTCAACCATCCACGTAGAACCCAACCCTCCAAGCAAAACCCAACCCTCCTCATATTTCCCTCATATCAGACCTCGACATCCCAATGAAAAAAAAAAATCTTTTGTCGTCGTACAGAGGACTCCCCCCCCCCTTGTCCATCGATAACCAATAAGCCTCGCTGGCTGGCACCGTGTAAACACAAGCCGTGTCGCGGAGAGAAATCAGTTGCTGAGATCCCACGGTGCCGGATCGATGGCCAGTGATTTCTCCAGACTTCGCCCCGAGTGCTCCGACAGATTCCACAAGAAAATCGTCGCGCTGGATAATAGGAAAGCTGTAATTAAAAACGCTAAATGGTTTTCTAAATGGAAGAAATCCTGTTCAATCATTTTTGTTTTCTTTTCTTTTAGGGAAAAAAACCTTTTACATTAAAAACTGAAATGGTGGGGTCAGAAAATATGATTCTATACAAAAATATAATGAGCCATTACTTGTACAACTTGAGATGCATGGTAGTATGATGTCATTGAAATGTAAATGTAAAAAAAATAATACTACATTTGAAAAAAAAATGTGTTTAAATTTTAACGAAAAAGGTTTTTTTTTTTTTTTTTAAAGTTTTTATAAAACAGAATTAAGTGTAAGAGAAAGATATCACTTGTACATTATGTCGCTATTTGCAGAGAAATACAAAAGCGTAAAATGGATTGGAAACACGTTGCGTAACCCATCTAGCAACATCACCAGACTGACACTAGATTGGAATCTACAAGAAAAGGGGAAAGTGTGTAGTTGTGTAGGCTTAAAAGGTCAGCTGTAGGAGAAGCAGAAGCTGCCGGAATATCTTGGACCCAACTTGAAGGAATCGCCCAGAACCGAGTACGATGGAGATGTTGCAAAAGGGTTCCACAGGAAGGATAATGATGACGATAGCTTGTATCACATTAAAACATGTCTCCATCATCATAAACTGTTGCAGTACAAATATTTAGCAAGAAACATGGTTTATATGTACTAGGTAGAAATAGGAGATAAAGTAGATGGGCAGCTTTTGCGTGTCGTATGTCTTTGATTAATTACACCAAAAAAAGTTTGTTTATTAGTTAACGAAAATAAATTTTAAAATAATTATTATTTAATATCGGCGATCTCTAAAATGCTCTAACCACTGCTGTTGACCAGGGTCAATGTTTATCGAGATCTGGTTACATTTATTAAAAGGTAGCAGACATGAGGAAGTGACGTAACTATCCATCCACAGCACGCATGCGCAGATAAAACAAGACGATGAGATTTTATTCTCCCCTTTAAGACGAAGAATTCAACATCCATAATAAAAGCTGATAAATCTTTAAAACATATTTGCTTTTAAATTGTTTCTTTTAAACTCTGAAAAAAAAATGTAATAAGGTATTTTAAAACCTGCCTGTCATCGTACAATGGAGTGGTAGAGCACTCGATTACAAACCTAAACGTCTCTAGTTTGGTACCCATGCACTAGCAGTGTTTCTTCCAGACTTTTTTCTTGGGGGGGGGGGGGGACATTTGATATTTTCGGAGGTGGACAACATTTTCATGGGGAGGGGGAGGGGCGGACGGACACTGCTAAAAGAAGTATATGTTTTCTATATAAATTCCATTTCGTTCCATTGGTGACCAAACTATCCCTTATGTCCCGAGGTCAGAGATACGAATGAACTCTACTTCATCTGCCCTATGAGCCAATAGATCTGAAAGAGCAATTTAATATTCTAAAAAGTATTAATATATTATGCAATACAAAACAAATTAACCCGCCATTGATTAAAACAAATACTTAATTAAACGTAGCATCTTATAACCAAATAAATGTTCTAAATAATCTCCTAAGAAAAGAAAAGTTTAAAAAAAAAAACCCATTTCTGGATGTTAACTCCAAAAAATGTTAATTCCTTTCAAACGTTTTCTAAAAGATTTCTAAACTCAAGAGGCCCCAAGCCCTCTCTTGATTCTCGCAACAAATTTTTTGTGAAAATTGGGTGAGGGGAGGGAATAGAAGAAAGCGGTCAGTGTAGTGCGGGAAGATTTCTGGAGAAATCACCTGGCATGGGTCGTCTGGAAATCAATAGTTCCAGAAATGGGG